CCCCCCGCCCCCCCCCCCCAAATTGCCTCCCAGTCGTCTCCGCCAATGACTCATGCAGCGGTAGTAGGGGTGCACGAATTGCTTCTCAGTCTCGAAAGGAAGAAGCTGAATATCTCAGCCTGGAATGGACACAGAGAACGCACAACGCGATAAGTTATCCGATGGGCTTTGTATGTGTAGATGAAACACGATGGACATTCACAATCGGAATCGATGTTCGAAAATCATGGAGTGAGTAACTCCAATCTGAACAACCCGACTACAGCAGTGATGGTCCCGATACAGTGGCATGTAGGGGCGAGAGCAAAACATGCCACTATTCAGGGCGGCAGTGCCACTATTCGATATATCGGACTCCACATTTTGAGATTGTGACGAGAGATTTTGATGCCACTATCTCGGGCATTTCACAACAATTCAGGGTGCCACTATATCGGGACCACTCCTGTGCACCCTCGATGACACCTCAGCTTCTCTCTCTCTGCCCGCATCGTGTCCTACACTATTCAGGTGATGGCGACCGCGTTCAGCAACGTCGCGGCCGACAACCTGTTGGAGGGCGCCCTCGAGCTGGGACTGCGCGCTCTCAGGATCGGGCGCCCCGCCACGATCCGCCCTACCCTGTGGCACGCCACGCTCGACGCTCTCGTGGAGAACCACCCGGATGTTGTCGGTGAGCCACCCTAGTAAAAAAGAAAAAAAAATGAGCCACCCAAAAAAAAAAAAAGTGAAAACATCGAACGATGCAACGTCCCTGTTGTACTTCTAGTGAAGTTGTCGGTGAGTCACCCTCAAAACAAAAAATGTTTCAAGAAAAAAAAATGTTGTCGTCGGCGCGGCGCTAGTGAAGAGCCGCCCTGGAAGTTGTTGGTGAGCCACCCTAATAATTATTAAAAAGAAAAGGTGAGCTAAGGACACAGGCTTCCCTCGTTGGGGGGGAGGCCCAGGTCGCAGTAGTCTTTTCCCACTACTAAGGGCTGGCAGTTCTCTTCGTCGAGATTTAGAGAGGAGAGGGTCTCAGAAGAGAGAGACAAGAGAGAGTACGCCGCCGAAGGGGCAAGGGAGACCAAGCCCGAGGGTCTCGGATTCCCAAGCTCCACAGGTGGCGCCAAGAGGGACGCATCCACAGTCGGGTCTCTTGCTGATCAACCATCAGTAAGATCCTCCGTTCGGATCGTATCTTGGTCCTACTTTTGTATGTGCAACAACAATGGTTACAGCACTTCTACACCTGTCATCCACAGAGCGACCCTAATACAACTAAAAAATAAGAAACATCGAACGATGCAACGTCCCTATTACTGTGAAGTTGTCGGTGACCCATTCTTCTAAAAACCAAAAAGCGTAAGAAAAAAAAAGTGTTGTCGTCAGCGCGGCGCTAGCGGAGAGCCACCCCGGAAATTGTCGGTGAACCACCCTTAACAAAATAACATGAAAACTGTCATGAACATTGCAAAATTGAAGAAACACAGGCAGTGCTCCGCTGACGCGATCAATCCATTTCTATTTCGTATCAGACCTTTATACAATTGTATATGGGTAGGATGGATGAATGGATTTATTGTTGTTAAATTATATTTCGAAGAAAACAAGTGTCTCTAGTGAGGCTCAAGGGAAGAATCTCCTGTCGGTGAGCCACCCTCTACCCACGCTTGAAAAAGTACAAAAAGGTTGTCCCTTTTATTGTTTCGAGGTTTACACGCGTAGCGATCCCTGAAGACCCTGATTATAGAAACACTTGTTGATTTTCTCGTGTGTTTTTCGTGGAACAGCAGTTTCTCAGAACATCTGTTTTTCGTGGAACAGCAGTTTCTCACAACATCGATGTTCTGAGAAACTGCTGCTCCACGAAAAACACAGGAGAAAATCAGCGAGCGTTCCTACATGAGGGTCTTCAGGGATCGCTGTACGCGTGAAAACCTCCCCAACATTTGTGGCGTGTCGGCAGCAAGGAGTTGGCTTTTCTCTGGGCTCGTTGTCCTTTTTGCGGCGGCGGGAGAGCCTGGCTCATTGTTTCTGCAGGAGGCGTTGTCTCATTTGACTCTCTTCGGTGTGATGGCATGTCTCTCACTGTGGTGAGGTGGTGATGGTTGAGGGGATGCTGTGTCACAGCGGTCCGTCTAAGACGCAGCCAGAGCAGCTTAATGCGGCGGTTTAGTTGTCTCTAGAGTCAACACCATGGTGTTGATCTTGAAAGCAATGGTTGGATATGCTGGCTGGTATCCTCAAGTGTTGCTGGTACGCAGGCGTCTTATGTATGATTTTTTTTTTTTTGTGGTCTTCACACACATAAAAAACCTGTTCCGTCATGTTCGTGCGGGGAACAATCTTTTTCATCCGAGTAAATTGCGGCGTTGCAGCAGCGTTGGTTGCTCCCCTCCTATGTGCATTCACCTTTCAGTACATTTTTTTGTTTTTGTACGTACGCGACAGACGACGTCGACGACTTGCTTTCCCTCCCTCTTCGCGGCGCTCACACCTAACTCCTCCCATCCAATCTCCCTTCTCTCTCTCTCCCACGGGGGCGTCAACCCCAAAAAAAAGCGGCCAAGGGCTGGGTGAAGGAGGTATCGCAGTCGACTGAATCATCGGCAGCGTCAGAAGCGCGGCGGCCGTCGACAACCAGGGGCTCCGCGGGATCCAAGTCCAGAAGTAGCAGCGCTGCTAGTACCCCCTCCCAGTCCGCGTCCAGGCGCGCGTACGCGGTGCTGGAGGCGGCGCAATTGGAAGCCGCCCGGCAGATCATCAAGGGGGCGGACGTGGTGGTCTGCAGCTGCATCGGCGCCGGCAACGACGCCTTCGTGCGCGCGATCGGAGGCGACCAAGAAGGGTAAGCAATACGATATTGTAGCGAGCGTGGCATTCTATTTTCGAAGGAAGAATTTGATCCAAGACGAAGACTGGAAGAACATAAATAGTTCATTCGGGGGCTCAGTGATTTGGGTGCGCACAAGATTGGGGGGGGAGGGTATCGTCCCCCCCGCTCCCACCCCGTCACTGGTCTGCACGTATGCATGGCATTCTTTTCATGCATGGGACATCTGCCTTGTGTTTTGCCTGTCCTACTTGACAAGCCGAGTTTGTTTCACCTTCTACTGTTGTTCTGGTGTTGTTGGAAGAACTGCTGTGCATTTGTGAGTATGAGATATTTCACGAAACCTTGGGGGAGTTGCCTAAGACAAGGTTTCGAAGTAAGGGAGGAGTGGGAAACACCAGCCGCGGGAGGTGATGCCACTGTTTGATCCCATACTGTCTGAGAAGAACTGACGGTCTTTGCCACCACCAACCTTCAGGGGGCTTAGCTCCATCTGCTGTGTCTGTGCAGTGCGTCCTCTTTGTTATTTTTAGCATCGACCGCGCTATAGCCGGCAGACCAATTAAAAGACGTCAGGTTGAAAACACAAAATGCCTACACTGTGTGTTTGCGTCGGTTTGGTTGCCACCAACCAACCTGCAGGGGCTTCAGCTCCATCCGCTTCTCCACGGTAGTGATCGACGAGGCCACCCAGGCTACGGAGGCGGCGGCCCTCGTGCCCATCATACGCGGATGCCAGCAGCTTGTGCTCGTGGGAGACCAGAACCAGGTTTGTATTGGCCACGCAATGTCCGTAGAGTCGTAGAGTCGTAGAGTGTCTCCTTCATCCCGACACCATGTACCGGGAAATAATTTAGAACGAGATACTGGCGGATCACACGAAATTCGTGACAGGCTTTGCAGCGCTTCTAGAAGCGGAGTAGCAATGCAGTGCATGTCTCTCTGCACGTGGCAGAACGTTAGCTGCGCTGGTTCGTCTCGAGTCCTGCTGCTGGTATTTTGTATCTCGGTCGGAGACGGTTTATTGGAGGGCCAGTCTGTTGGTTTCTTGTTCGAGTGACGTACTCAAGAGGGGGAGAGAGAGAGAGAGAGTCACAGGCGGATTCCGAGTGTGTCGCATTGTGGGTGATGGCAAAGGTCGTCGGAGCTTGTGGTTCTTCCCAGTGTCGTGCTGGAGAGTTGCGGGCGGGCCTTGCGCCCGCGCGTGTCGCGTTGTTGTGTACGTGGCAGGTGAAGAATCGTGAAAGGCTGCGCTTCGTACCGTGTCACGGGCCAAAAGTCTGCTAGGCCACCTGTCAACGAATGATGATGCCGAAGTCCGACATCCATCGTGTTTCGCGTTCACCCCCCCGCCCCCCTGTTTTCCTCCGTTGCGACCCCGCTTTATCGGTGATGATCCACAGCTCCCTCCCACGGTGATATGCCCCGAGGCAGAAGACGGCGGCCTTGGGACTAGCCTCTTCTCCAGGCTGATGCACGCCGGGATCAAGCCCATCCTCCTCAATAGGTACGTAATTTTTAGCGAACACGCGAGCCCCCCCCCCCCCCCCCTACCTGCGGCACCCCCATCTCCCTCTCCCTTTTGATTCTTCGGGAGAGCGATAGCCGAAATCGGGTATGTACACACCCGATTCGAACATGGTCAAGATCGGGTATCCCTCCCAATGTGACACGCCGCTGCTGGCAGCGACCGCATGACGCCATCGGATTGGCCGACGCTCGCCCCTTGCTACCAGCGGCGTGTCATGTTACAGGGAAGGGTACATACCCGATTTTGTCCAAGTTCCGGCCGGGTTTGATTCACGCACGAGACACAAGACACATGTCTCTTTCGGCTTCCTCTATGTTGTTGTTGTTGTTGTTGTTGTTGTCTTCACATTAAAAACCGTTCCGTTCTCTCTGCCCAGTACACTTGTTCTGTCCGTGCTACTGTAATAGTCTAACACTTGACGGGGTCGATTCCCGTGATGGCAGGCTAACTTACCCAAAAAGTATGCGCAACAGTAACACAACGATGCCCCCCCCCCCATCCTTGCAACAGGCAATACCGAATGCATCCGGCAATCTCGGACTTTCCGTCTCTACATTTCTACGATGGTCAAGTCACGACGGGGATACGCGCGTCAGACAGACCCACTCCGGCCGGGTTCCCTTGGCCTGCCGCGTCTGGCCCCGTGGCCTTTGTGCGTGTCAGCGAGAGCGGGGGTGAGAGAGAGAGAAGAGTTAGTTTCTGCTCGATTTTTTTCTCGGCTTTGTCTGTGGGCTCTCGTATCGCACACACACATGCATACCAACCTTTAGCTCCATTCTTGCGCAAAAGAAGAAGGGCGCCTCCTTTCACGTTTTTTTTTTTTTTTTCGAAAGAACAGCAAATCCACCTCTTCTGCAGATAAAGAGGCAGGAGAAGATAAGACTGCTGTACTGGTGGGCAGATTTGTAAATTTTCGTTTTGGTTCGTTGGCTGTCGCTGGGCCGATCGAGTACCAAACCCGTCAGCAGTGTGAGCTGCTGAGCTTGGGAAACGTCGCAACCAACTGGCAGCTGACAGCCAGCTGACAGCTGCGTGCTGGTCCTGCTGCCTGCCTTTGTTGTCATCTTGCATCACCCCTTGCATGTACTATGCCCTCATGAGCCCACTCCGGAGGAATCGCTTGTAAGCGAATATTTTATGTTTTGCTCTCTTCCCCTGCCCTGCCGATAACACACCCCCCACCGCCTCAGGGGAGTCACACGCTGGCGTGGGCGGCGCTAGGAGAGGCCAGCTGGAGAGCCGCGGGGGTACCGAGGCGGCCGTGCAGGGAGGCAGCTTCGCTTCCGCGGCCCTGGGTACGTCTTACTGCAACGTGAGGGAGGCGGAGGCGGTCGCCTTCGCGCTAGAGCTCCTTCTCCGGGAGGGCGATGTTGAGGTGCGGTTCAGCTCTAAAGGATGATGTTGAGGGATCGGGGGGGGGTCGGGGGGGGGGGGGGGGCAAACT